TTGCCAACCTGATCACCCCATAATCACTACCCTGCTGGCCTGATTAACACCTAACTACTCCTCTGGCAGCCCAATCGTCTCCAACTGTCCTCCTCTGCTGGCCAATTTGGTTCTGACTGGTCGGTTTCTATGCCAGTCAGCATCTCTGGACCTATCAATGGGCCTGATCAGAAAGGTGGGGCTGATCAGCAGCCCCAGTGGAGGCCTATAGAGAAATGGAGGCACAGCTGCTGACCAGGCCTGGAAAGAGAGTGGCAAGTGCTGATTAACAGTTGCCACAGAGGCTACGGATCAGACTCTGCCTCTCTCTTTGGGCCTCTTTTCCAGGCTGATTCACAGCCCCGGCAGCAGTCAGTGCTGGGTCACCATAGCAACCTAGCACTGACTGCAGGACTGACTTCCAGTTGATCGAGCCTCCCGGTTGTTGTGGATATGACAGACCCAGAGTTTTTATATATTGGGATTTTAGAAATTCAACTATAATCTCACCACCTGACCACACTCAACCACAGCAGTCAAGTCCTCAGACCAAAAATCTTGGTGTAATCCACTACTCCCACACCCTACTTCCAATTCACCAGGAAATCCTATCTATTCTACCTTCAAAATACGTCCAGAATCTCCCTATCCCCACACCTCTGCCGCTACCACCCCAATTTGAGTCATCATCCTCTCCCCCTACACTCCTGCTGTAGTCTTATACCTGGACCGCCTGCTTCCACCCTTGCCCTCAACAATCTGTTCTCCACACAGTGGCTAGAGTTGACTTTTCAAGATGTAAGATCATGTCATGCCTCTGCAAAACCCTCCAATGGCTTCACATAATGACCCTTGACCCCATGGCCTTATCCTGATACTGTCCCCCTTGACTCACTCTGCCCAGTTACAACCACCACTTTGATGTCACATGCAAAGTCTACTCCTGTCTCAGCACCTTTGCACTGGCTGTACTCTCCACCTGAAACACTCTTCCCCCATAGAGTTACATAAATAACTTCTCCACTTCCCTCAAGTCCTTGTTCAAACATCATCTTCCACTTAAAGGTGCAACACCCACCCATTTTTTTTACACTGATTATTTTTTTATTTTTCTATAGTACATATTACCGAATACCCTAACATTCTCACATATCCTAACATATTATATAATTTATTCCTTTGTTACAATTATTGTTTACTCTCTGTCTCCATCCCACTGAATGATACTGCATGAGGACAGGTAATTTTTGTCTGTTTTGCTCACCTGACATAGTGTCTGGCACACAGGTAAATAAGTAGCTGCTGAATGAATAATGAAAACAAGATACACATTCACAAAGTAGCACGCCCCAGTCAGGTTCCTGCTTCTCTGGGCTCCAAACCTGAAAAGACATGAGGGACTTTTCCCTAAAAGGATCACAAAGCCTTCAGAGACTAGCGTCCCTTCTGTGATGAAACTTGTCACTATAGGGCATTGGGAACTTTTCATCAAGGCAGCCTAGACACGGATACCGAACTGAATCGAATCGGTGAATAATTCCATCTCAGTTGGCATTTGGTTGGAATAAGGTCACATGCCAAGTGGTGGCTGAACCACATGACCCTTTAGTCGCCAACAACAATTTCTCTCAAAAAGCAGTAATATAAACATTACTATATTTGTAACAATCCCAGGCATTTAGTAATAAAAAGTTGTCCTCTTTTTGTTTTTCACAGGAACATCAATTGTCCTGTTAACAGGCATTCTGGGTAAGGGACACATACTGGAGAATGGGAAGGAGACATTCTGGGTGGGAAGGTCATGTGACACTGTGGGTGTAATAGACACAAATCAGGTCAGCTCTTTGGCCAACATCCCTCATGGCCCTGTCTGTTACCCCTATCTCTCTTCTTCTTTTTAAAAATATATTTTATTTACTTTTTAAGAGAGGAAGAGAGAGGGATAAAGAGTTAGAAACATCGATGAGAGAGAATCATTGATCAACTGCCTCTTGCACACCCCCTACTGGGGATGTGCCCGCAACTAATGTACATACCCTTGACTGGAATTGAATCTGGGACCTTCCAGTCCACAGGCCCATGCTCTATCCACTGAACCAAACCAGTTTCGGCCCTATCTCTCTTCTTGTATTGATTCTACCCTCCCTTCCTCAGCCACAAGCTTAGCCAACCAGAGCGCCTCCCTGGGTCATTTCTAAAAGGTGCTAGCAGGGTAGAGCTTCTTTCTTCATAGATTGTTAAGCCACATGGACATAAAACACAGTTCAATTAAAATAAGAATATATATTTATTAATGAATTGGCGAGTAAATGAATGACTGGATTTTCAAAGCAAAGTAAATACATCTAATTAGAAGAAAACCATAAATTTTGGATACAGGAAAATCTCAGTTCTGAATCCCAGCCTCAATATCTCAGTCTTTGGGAAAGAAGTGTAACTACTGTTAGTTCTATATCACCTCCTCATACAGTTATTGTGAGAAAAACCTAACACCAACTGGCCATATGGGCCTTTCCCCTTAACACACTAACCAACAACAGTGACCCAAAACTCCTGCAGCTTTGTTGACATTGGGATTATGGAAACGTACATCTCATTGAGCAGTCTTCAACTAAATGACTGTTATGATTTGTGGATTTTTAAAGTATATGACTGAAAAAAATACTTTTATCAAAGTTACCCTATTTGAAATAAGCTTTCAGAAATATTTCCTTTTTTGAGTTAAAGATTTTTGCAAATGAATTTGCTAACCTAATGACCTCACAACAGCTTCATTGAGTTTATATCGATATATTGTTGATCACTTGGTTTCACTTTATATATAAACAAAATATAAATAAACAAAATATGGCAAGAGTTTCTCTATACACCAACAGTAAGGAAATAAGAACTTTTTGTCAAATAAAAATTTAATTAAAAAATCTAAATGTCCCTTTTAAAGTTTTGCTCCTTTCTTTTATAAATTTCAGGGCAATAGATGCAAATGAGAAAAATATGCCACTTGCTTTTGTCATTTATTTCCATCCACATGTAAATTGGAAGCTCTTTAGAAACCCAATACAGAAAAGAAAGGAGATCAGAAGAAATAACACAAATGTCCTTCAACTAAAAGTTTGGTTAAATAATTTAAAGTAAATCCAGAAAATGGAACACTGGGCAGTAGATAAAGCGATTACGTGGACCTGGTTTTATTGGCAAGGCAGGGTGTTACCAACGCAGGGGCAAAGTAGCATCTGGAATACATACCCCGTGATGGAAAATTACAGATTCTGTGCTCTGCTTCATAGCCTCCTGTACTTCCCCCTCTTACCCCTCAAGATCCTTTGTTGTTATTCCTTAGTTAATATTTAATGTCCCTGCCAGACTGTGTGCTCGATGACAGCAGGAACTCTATCTTTAGCCCAGTACCTAGGGCACATCATGCGTGGACAACAGAGACCTGCTGAGCCAGTGGGCAGTGCCTTAATCAAAGGAAAGGAGCTGCGCCTGGATGATCCCTGCGTCCTTTCCAAGCTGCTGACAAATCGTTCATTTAATCATCCATTCCAAACTTTTGCCTAGGATTATAACAAGCCTGTGGAATTTACCATGTTGCCTTATTCGTTTTGGCTCTCTGTTTGCCTGGTCTCCCTCATTTGATTGTCAGCTCTTCGAAGCTAGGGACTGTGTTCTGTGCTGCTGTTCTGCCATGCCCAGGAAATGCTCTAAGCGGGGGACCTTTTGAGCAATTGAATGACTGGGCAAGTATCACCTCCTAAGAAAACAAAGAATCGGAGTCAGAATAATTTTATAACCACAACCATTCATTTCATGGGCCACACACTGAAATAGTTTTAAGTCAGTTGACTCTTTTATTCCACAGCAATCCTCTGAGAAAAATACTACAAGCCCCTTTTTACAGATGAGGCACCTGAGGCTTCAACAACTCTCAGGGACTCGCCCCAAGTTTCCCAGCTGGTAGGAAAAAGAACAGACCCACTGGTGTGGCCCAGTGGTTGACCCATGCAGCAAGAGGTCACCAGTTCCATTTCCAGACAGGACACAAGCCCGAGTTGTGGGTTCTATCCCCAGTAGGGGGCGTGCAGGAGGCAGCCGATAGATGTTTCTCCTCAATGTTTCTATCTCTCTCTCCCTCTCCCTTCCCCTCTTTCTAAAAATCAATAAAAACATTTTTTAAAAAAGAAAATTAGAGTTGGACTATGTACCAAAACTGGAGCTAGGTTTTTGTAACGCCAAGGTCCATGCTCTTAATCACTCGTGATCATCCCATCCCACTCCTCCAGCAGCTGATAATCCTTCTCTCAGGAAATAACTGGGTACAGATGTATCACATCCATCTTATTGGCAACTTCGTGCATAAGGAAGAGCCTGGAAAACAACTCGTTAAGTTAATCTTTCCAAACGTTGGTGTTTGTTTAGGGCTTAATCACAAGGAACAGCAGCAGCCTGTAATTATTGGAATCAAGAGTCTAGGTCAGTGGTCGGCAAACTCATTAAGTCAAGAGAGCGGCAAGCCACAGCTCACGAGCCACATGTGGCTCACGAGCCGCAGTTTGCCGACCACTGGTTTAGACAGTGATCATGATGGCTATCAGAGAAGATACTTTGCTTATTGCTGCTGTTGGCTCCTGCACAAAAGCAGAGAAGCCAGAAATCTTGGTCAGAGGCCTCTCTAAACTGCATGGGTTAGGAAGTTTTTTGATAATGCTCTCCCTGTCCTGTTTGGCTTTTTTAAGTAAGTAAGTTCCACAAAGGGAAGCAGTGTTGACTATTTCCTAGACAGTCTTTCTCTTGTGGAGGGAGACTCATACACAAGTAAACAGGGAAGAAGACTTTAGGGAATTAAAAGAATACAGTCCAACTCTAAGGACAAATGAACGATGTTTAGCTGTCATTACAAGAAGCTTCTGGTTGATAAATACTTGCTGGTACTTCCTTGCTGATTTCTTAGCCTCACACCGCAGGCCCTGACCACTGTGGTCCACTATGCAAATGCAAATTACCTGACTCAGGCTGTTGAGTCACCAACTCCCTTTTAAACCAATGCCAGGTTCAAGGTAGTGACTGCGCAGGTAGAAGCCATGGCTCACAGGCTCTGCCTCTCCGGCTGGCTGTTGGCCTCCTGGCTGGTGGTAATGGTGGCAGAAGGTAAGGGTTTTTGTGTTTATTCTACCGTGGGCCCACTAATGAATAAGTTGTGTGAAAAGATAAAATTTGGCTCCATGATTATACATGTTCATAAATTGAAAATGTTTGTCAGCTTTCACCAGCCTGTGTGGTTAGGACAGGCTGAATCTTACCATATGACGATCTCAATCTCAGTCTCAATTCTCACGCTGTGATTTTAGGCATACTTAACCTTTCTGATATCAGTCTCTTCATATGTGAAGTGACAGGATTAAAAACATACATTATTTGGGGGACTATGAGCCATCGTGCCAGAAAAGCTCTTCAAGTTTAAAACACTATACGAATACTACTTACTAGGGTTCTAAAGCTAACAATTTGCAGCCCTGAATGACAGCAATGTCCACCTCTTTCTATCCCCAGAAGCACGGTGATTTGCACATAGTGGGTATTTAGTCTCTGTTTGTTAGTTGCTTTAATTAATCACATCTATTTAGCTGAGTTTTGGTGCCATTCAGGTGAGCATAGATTTCTTTCCTTAGGATTATATTAGATTCCATCTCTCCACTGTTCCTTTTCTTTTTCCTTTCTCCACTATGAAATTTCCATGTGGCCTTAGATTTGGCTTACAAACCTCTGGGGAAATGAAAGAAAAAGATAAAAAAAAAGGGAGGAGAGGGGGGAAAAGAGAGAGAGGAAGAAGAAACTGGGAGACCTGGGTCTGATGACAGTTTCCTTTCGCTCCAGAACTAACTATGGTTCAGGGAGTAGAGACCCAGGAGTCAAACTGCATCTCTCATGCATCTCTCATCTTCACATGCCCCTGGGGGCTTTGCAGGGGCCCAGCCAGAAGCTAATCGGCCTCCAGCAAATTCCCTGCTTCCATCCCCCAAAGCTCACAGCAGAGAGGGAAGGAATCTTAGAGGTGGCGGAGAGACCACTGGAGCTCACCCTGTCCAGTCTCTGCATTCCGGTGATCAGAGGGCAGGAAATACAGATTACAAATAACCCCTGCCCCACTTCTTCCTAAGACAAGGCCTCCAAGCCTCACTTGCTAAAAGTGACATATAAAAGAAACACCATAAACAGAACCAGCCACCTCATGCCTTCGTTCCAGAAAGTGAACCATTCGTCAGGAAACTTTGTAATGTGTAGCTAAACCCGTTATAATGAGATTAGAGGTTTATTCACACCAGAAGAACACCAATTAAAATGGGAGACATGATTTCTGAACTTGTCTCACGCTTCCCCACTGTCCCTCAGACGAGCATGGAAGTCCATCCAATGTAGCTTCGCTCTCTCCAAGCCGCCCTGGTCCCAGCTCATGCTCACCTCCACAACCCTCACTCTCTCCTCTCCTCTTCCTGGCAGGCTGGACTGCCCCTCCTCCTGTTCTGCCCCCCATGTACTGCAATTCTGCTTCTCATGACAATGTTTGTTACTATGGTCCTGCCTTCACAAAGGCTTAAGACAAAATTGCAATCTCTTCGATAACTTAGAATAATACTTATAATAACGTGTGCATCACCCATGGCATTCCTGCATTCTGCTCTGTATTACAAATCCCTGTATTTGCAGGCCAGGTCTTTATTGTCTCTGCATGCGCCTCGGTATCTAGCATAGGACCCTGCGCACTGCTGAAAATGAAATAAGTCTGTGTGACACTTTCTGGGCTCCAAATTATTTATCTGTAAAATCAGAGATATGATCAAGATAGCCAGTCATTCTGTGAGTCTACACAATGAATTGAGTTGCAGTTAACTAAGTCAAAATCAAATTGAGTTGAATGGTGAGTAAATTAATTACAGGATTTATATTTCTTTCTGATTCAATTCTAAAAGCATGTGTGAATTTTTCTAATACTCCATGGAAGAACTGCATACTAATACTTATAAATCAAATATGAAGCTTACTTCTCTTAAAATCCATATAGTTCTCTACAACCCAACTATTGTCTGCCCAAATAACCACAGACCACAAGTAATTATATATTTATATGACAGTCTTTTTATCCTTAATTTTTTTTAAAGTACTTGTTGTTGGTATGCTATGAATTTTGTGTCTAGACTATAATAAACCCACTTAAAATTGATATCTAAACTCTAAGCAATATTTTGGCTTAATTTTTTATTTTACTCTAATTTTAAATATAAGTTATTATTGTGAATTTTCTAGGACTGACATTAAATATTCAGTGAGCTTTAAAAAAATCTATAGAGAGGAAAATTCAGTGTCTGGCTGGCCATTCATTCCATTTATCAGATCCATGTAATAATATTTGCAGTGTGTCTGGGCACCACTCTAAGCCAGGGACTATTCTACATAAGAGGGACATCACAGTGACTGACAAAGTCAGCAGTTCCTGTCTTCATGGAGGTCCTGTTGTAATAAGATTTTCATCCTTTAGTCCTATCAATAGTGCAGATTTTATGTATAAAGTGTAATCAAATGGAACCAAGAAAACTGGGCTCTTGCTAACAGAATCTTTCCATAGCATTTAAGATTAATCGTAACAGTAGCTCACACCTTCTAAATGCATACTGTGGGTCAGGAATGTTCTGAGCACTTTACATACCTTATTTCAGATAATGCAACAAACCAGTGAGATAGGTAGTATTACTTTCTCCATTTTACAAATAAGGAAAAGGAGACTCAGAAGTTAAGGAGCCCGTCTCTGGGTTGTTAAATGGCAGAGCTCAGGACACCTGGCTCTAGAGCCTATGCTTTTAAACATTATGCCGTTCTGCCTCTCAAAATGTTTTTAATCTGCATTTAAATATTTGACCTACTTTGGCCTGAATAAGGTTGCAGAAGCACTCTCATCTTTGATATTGAGTGCCTTTGGTGGCATGTCAGTACATTACACAGCGAGAACTATTTGCTTAGTAACAATTGAATTACCCCTGAGAAATAGGAAAATGGTAGTCTTTGCAGTTACAGAAACAGATTTCTCTCAATCAATCAATTCTACTCTAGCTAGGTACCATGCTGGGGATGAGGTCAAAGGATGTGGTCTACAGGATGGTCAAATGTATATTACAGTGGAGAAGTATAACCTCTAAAGAGTAATCACATGACTCATGAGTATCATGAACACACAGGATGCTATGGAAGCATATTGCATATTGCCTTAACACAGCCTCAGGCCTCCCTCAAGAAATGAGATATGAAATCTGCAGAGAAGTAAACCAAGCAAAAATGGCAGGAAATGGTGCTCTAAGCATATGGAACCAAATTTTCTAAAGCCATCACTTTTGCGAAAGTAGCCTTTGTGGAGTGGAGAAGGTAGAGTCAGATTCCAGTCCACTTAAGTAGGTGGGGGAGGGGCAGCAGAATCGGAAGTGTGCAGACTTTTCTTTGCAATGATTGCAATGATAGTAAAAACCAAAGAATTTCATGGCAGATCACCAAAGTGTTCTCTATGAAATATGAAGCTAAGTAATCTACTTAGAAAGGTAGAGAAAATTTAGAGGAGAATTCTTCAGGTAAATAAAGAATGGGAATTTTGAAGCAGCTTTAAGGAGCATATTAAAAGTTTAGAAGACAGTGGGAATTGAGCAGAACAAGAATAAACAAAAGAATGAATGAGCCCTAGCTGGTTTTGCTCAATGGATATAGAGTGTCAGCCTGCAGACGGAAGGGTCCCAGCTTTGATCACAGTCAAGGGCACATGCCTGGGTTGTGGGCTCAATCCCCAATAGGGGGCGTGCAGGAGGTAGTCGGTCAATGATTCTCTCTCATTGATGTTTCTATCTTTTCCTCACCTTCTCCCTAACTCTCTGAAATCAATAAAAATATCTTTTTTAAAAAATAGCATTAAAAAAAGAATTAATGAACAGTATTAACTCAGTCGAAGTTGGAGACCATGAATAGCATCACCCCCTCACTCAGATGTTTGGCCTTAACCTTGTAAAGAATCTGTGACAGTTCCCAAATCAATCCCTATGGCTTCCCCATTTTACAGAACTTGTGCCAGCCAACCAGAGATCTGGAATAGTCACCATGTGTCTAGTCTGCTGGAAGAATGTGGTTTTATGTGGGTTTGCCCACATTTTTAGGTTGGTTAATGGGACCAACATGTACCTTGATCTTGAGCCCCACAGAAATTCCCAGAAGAAAACAGTGAACACCTCGGGACATCCCAGAGTCAGAAAAAAGCTGCCTAGCAGGCTCTAACACCCACTGTCAGCTGGAGGATGTGGAGAGCAGCTTAAGGTTTTAAGAAATGAGATGAGCACCAGGGTGGGTGGGTTGGTCGGTCGGTCAGTTGGTTGGCTGGTTTGTACAGCTGGAATGCAGCTTACTGAGTGACAAAGCTCAAGGCCCAGCTAAGCCTGATCTGACAGCAAAGTGTCAAGATGGGGATTAAGAGTAAGGCTAGCTTCTCCCCTAGCAACTGAAACCTCAGCAGAAGATTTTTATGTTACAAAAGGATCGGAACTGATCTAATGGTGTAGGAGGAAAGAATGAGTCATGTGGGATTTAATCATCTTCTGGAAGTTGAAATATTTTAATCTAGTTTCAGTCATAGAATTTCAATACTCAGTAGCCTAGATGGGTCTGGAAGAAAGGGTATTTCCTTCCAGGAACAGACACCAATTCAAGCTAGCTTTTAAAAAAGAGAACTGGAAGTGGAATGGTTATTATAAGAATATCTCTAAGACGCTAAGTACAACCAGCCCTCAGTCAGATCAGCCCTGGAAAGTCAGGAACCAAGGCTACTTTCATCATCGCTCTGTTACCACATGGTCTCTTGTCTCTTTTTCTCTCTGAGAGGCCTTCCCCATTTTATAATTTCTATGGAAAGACAGCTTCTCCGCTTACTCCACATTCAACTGACCCTTTTCCCCTCTGGGAGTTACCATACTGTGGTCTGTCTATGAAGTCTTGTTGTTGTCGTTTTGCTTAATCCCTTCACCTTTTTCACCCAGCCCCTAACCTCCCACTCCTCTGACAGCTGTCAGTCTGTTCTCTATATCTGAGTCTGTTTCTATTTTGCTTTTTAGTTTATTTTGTTCATTAGATTCCACTTGTAGTGAAATCATATATTTTTCTCTGACTATAAAATGCACAAATCTTAAAGGTATAGATTGATCACATTTTACACATGCATACATATATGTGTGTATATAATATGTGTGTAGATATGTATATACTAGAGGCCCAGTGCATGAATTCGTACACAGGTGGGGTCCCATGACCTGGCCTGCAGGGATTGTGTTGAAACTGTCTCTCTGACATCCCCCAAGAGGTCCCGGGTTGCAAGAGGGCAGTTCTCCGGTGACGCACCCCAGAATTAGGCTCCCTCCTCTCTGGTTCTGGGTGCGTCACTGGAGAACCACAGCTGCCAAGTGACCAGTTTGGCTGATCTTGTATTGAGCATCTTCCCCCTGGTGGTGAGTGTGTGTTATAGCTACTGGCCAATCAGCCAGTCATTTAGGCTTTTATATATATAGATAAGTGTATATGGGTGTGTGTGTGTGTGTGTGTGTGTGTGTGTGTGTGTGTGGAGTCTTTATCTCCATATCTATGTTAACAACCACCAATATCAAGATCTAAAGAGTTCCCTCATTACTTTTTCCACTAAATAATATCTACCCCAATCCTAAGTTAACTACAGTTTTTAAAACCATAGATTAGTATAGCTTGTTCTTGAACTTGATACAAATGGAATGTTTTGCTCAACATAACATCTGTGGGATGCATCTGTATTGTATTAATTCTCCTTTGCATTGCTGAGTACTATTTCATTGTATGAATATCTACAGTCTGTTTATACATTCTCCGATTGATGAACATTTGTATTGTACCCAAATTTAGGCTAATATGAGTAAGGCTGCTATGAACATTCTTGAAGTAGTCTTTTGTAGACATATACACTCATTTATCTTGGGTAAATTCCCCACAGTGCAACCATGGGATCATAAGGTGTGTCCATGTTTCACTTCACTGAACATTGGCAGTTCTTCCAAACACATGCAGACCTCTTCATTTCTTCCCTCTAATCTTGCTCTCCTGCCACCCCTCAAGCATCTCCCTTCTTCTGTTGTTATCAGGCCTGCTTCCTGATTTGCATTTTTCTCCCCACAGGACAAGGGGTAGTCATCCCTCCCAGAGGCTCACAAAATAATGTGGATCCTACAGATTGCCAGATCTTTACACTCACCCCTCCGCCTCCAACAAAGCCGGTGACAAGGATCCCGCCCATCATAAGGACAACCAAGTGTCCTTTCCACTTTTTTCCAATACGGAGGCCCAGCGTCCAAATAAGGTTTCCAAACAGCCCTTTCCTCCCGCGGAGGTGCAACCACCGTTTTCAGTACCGTCCATATTTTTGGCCAAACAATCGTCTTAGTCCATATTATAACTATTTCCCCAGAAGAAGACTCCGGAGAGGAAGCTCATCTGAGGAAAGATGGAAGAGAGAAGCCCCGAACCTGCTCAATCAGAGGAGGTCAATGCCTCAGAAAAGACTATAAAAATCGTTGTTTTCTTTTTCCAAACTGAAATTACCAAATTTGAAAGTTATCTTAAACACCACTGACTAGAAATTGTTCTCCTTGCCAACAGTAAAGATACTGGTGTAAAGGTCATTCAAGTTTGCAAAGTAGGAGCAATAACCACATTATTCTTATTCCCAACTTTTTACAACCACATGATATTTGTGCAAATAATACCCTAAAATGAGACATTCTGGTCATTCCTGTTCATACTGAGATGCCAGAAGAATCAGCTCCATCTTCTAAATTAGAGTGGGGAACATTTCAATAAATCAAGATTGCTCAAATCAAATTAAGACATTAATGAAGCCCTTTGATACTCACTGGAAAACTTATGAGCAAGGTGCATTTACAAAGTGAACTGTAAAAGAAATTATGGAAAACTGAAAGCTTTATTTCAAGCATGTCTGGCAGGGATGTAACTAGTGGTTAGTTATTAATTTATTACATTTTTATTGAGGTACAATTGGCATAACATTACATAAGGATTCAATGTTTGTATATATTGCAAAATGGTCACCACAATAAGTCTAGTTAACACCATCCGTAATTATAAATTTATTTTTCCTTGTGATGAGAACTTCCAAGATCCAATCAGTTTTCTAACAACAAATTTAAAGATTAAACTAAATTATAGGATATCTGACTATAGATAATACTTTAAAGCTATCATAAACTGAATTACCTAACTCCAGAACTCTTTTTAATTGTAATATCTAAATGTACTTTAATGTTAACTTTTTTAAGCAAATTAGCATGATAAATATCTCACGTTCTCCCATTATCATCATACAGACACCAGCTTAAATGATATACTTCCCCTAAAACTTTCAATGTAGTCTGGGATCAAAGTCTGATTAAGTTGACATGAATGTTCTCCTAACTCTAGGACTCCACAGACATAAGTTTACTCCTCTATGGGAAGCTTGTATTTCAGGAGTGCAATATAAGTAACCCAACCCATTACATGCATTGGTTATTTCTTTAGCCATTCTGTAACATTCCAACTCCTGTTTGTGCCATTCATCTTGCCTGTAACACAGGAACTAGTCTTGTATATGTGGTTTGTATCTTAATACCTCTTCCTCCTAAGAGCTATGTGTAAAAGTTGCTGCTGATGCTGCTGCTTTTACAAAGAAGAAAGAACATGAAGACGTGAGGTTGCTGGGAACATGGCCTGGGAAATGGAAAGAGATTACTTTACTTCCTTGCTGTATTAAAGAAAAGAAAGGGAGGGGGTTACACAACTATTTCCTTTACTTGCTTCATAACAAATTTTCCTTATAAGAACAGATATTTGCTTCAAAATGGCAGGCTTAAATAAAATCTATACTTGAAATCCTCATTAAGAAAGTATATATTTTGTTAATAGCCTTCATCTTTTTTTTCTTTCTTGTTGGTTAGTGGGCATAAACAGAAATGAGCCAGCCTTGAGCAAACTTGAAGGCAGAGAAAGATTTGTATGTGATCTCGCCTCCCTCTCAGGACCCCGTTTTATCCCTGCTCCCCACTCACTCTTACCTAGTACTCACTGCTCTTGCCAGAACTCCCACTGTCCAACCAGCCTGGCTCTCACTGCCTTTCTCTCCCAAACATTAGAAATAGTGCCATCCAAACATTAACTGCTCTGAACTGAGTCCCTGAGGCCTGGCTACATGATATTAATCATTAGGAAAACTTAGACAAAATAAAGATGGATTAACAGCTTTATTAGCTAGTTTTTGCATCTATTATAGAAAGCAGATGACTGCTGAAGTGTTTCATAGTAAGGGCCTTTTGTAAAATAACCAGGTAAAATTGCACTGCTTCTCACCCTCGAACATGTATATAAAAAGCAGGCCCACACCTGCTAGTACAAGCATATTCTTGTGACTTTTTTGAAAAATTGCATCCTTTGGGTTAATACATTTTTCTCTTAAAATACAGTGATGCCTACCTAGCAGGTTTACACACTCAGGTACTAGTATTTATCAAGTGTGTTCCTCTTAGCATTCAGGTGGGATTAGCCGCTTTTGAAGCAATGGGAGCTTGTGGGGAGGGTGTGATGACCTTTAAATTCAACTTTTGCTTTGTGGTAAAAATAGCCTATGCAAGCCTGAAGTTCTAATTATGTAAAAAAGGCAGAACCTGAATGCAGTCATCAGACAAACCCAAGTTGAGGGACATTTACAAAACAACTGCCCTGTAATCTTCAGAAAGGAAGATGTCATGGTAGACAGAGTTTAAAGATGATTACAAAGACCCAACAACTAAATGTGATCAGGGAGGTGGGAAGGAAAGGAAGAGACTGCCATGGAAAATATTATTGGGACAAACGGCAATTTTTTAAGTGGACCACGCGTTAAATAATAGTATTTTATCAGCATTACATTTTCTGAATTTTATAATTGGATAAGAAAACATGTAAGATCTGAAGTGTTTGAGGGTAAAAGAGTATGATTTCTACAAATAACTCTCAAATTATTATGGAGAAAAGTGTGTGTGTGTGTGTGTGTGTGTGTGTGTGTGTGTGTAAAAGAGAGAGAACGGGAAGAAGGGAGAAATATAATAAAGCAAATGTGGTGAATGTTTTTACAGTTGGTGTATAATGGGTGAAGGGTACATGGGAGTTCTTTGTACAGTTGTCGCAACTCTTGTGCAGTTTGAAGTTATCTCAAAATGAAAGTAAAATGATACCATTAACCACAACACAGAGGCCTTAGTGACAAGGAGTGCCACCCTGGGTTAGTCATAGGGGAGGAAGTGGTTAGTGTAGGGTCTGGGGACAGATGAAGGAAATGACAGAGTAAGATTAGACTGGGGTGGGGGTACAAAGAAGAGAAAGGTTAAAAAGGGATATTGGGGAAACAAATCTGGGAACACTGCATTGCAAGCGCCTGGAGTGGCCTGGGAGTGGACAGCAACAGCCCAGGCTGGGCGACCCTGCTGCCGCTGGAAAAGGGGAAATGGACCTGGGAGGATGCAGCTCCATGTAGACTTTAAACACATTTCAGTCTGAGATTTCGGTGTGCATGTAAAACGAAGTTAGATGCACTCTTCTGAGTTTGTAACTCATTTTTCCCCCCCACTGAGATATTTTGTGATTGAAAATTCTAAGTGAAAATGTAATGATTTCTGAAAAAATTTTGTCTGTTGAGTAGTGCCTAACAAACGCATCTTTTGTCTTTCCTGTGTTTGTGGTATCAATAACAGCAGAAGTTTCTGCTTAGTATTATCTTTTCATAATCATTATAAACAAGGAGAACCAAATAATCTTTTGTGGTCGCTGTAAACTTACTGTAATGTTTGGTAACAGAGGTCATGCACTCTTGCTAAGGTTAGAGTTAATAATCCAGTTTAAATGTTTCTTTGTGCTTTTTAAATAATCTAGCAGTAGAGAATAAACTATCAGCCAAAATCATTTTGGAAGAATAAGAGCAAAACATGGGACAAGGAGGTGGGAGGGCAGACCTGAAAATCCTTTATGTTAATACTAGAGGCCCACTATGAAATTCCTGCAGGGGCGGGGCGGTCCCTCAGCCCCGCCTGCACCCTCTCACAATCTGGGATTGCTGGCTTTTAACCACTCGCCTACCTGTCTTGTTGCCCCTAACCACTCTGCCTGCCTCCCTGATCACCTCTAACCCTTCTGCCTATCTGCCTGATTGGCCCTAACCACTCTCCTGCCTGCATCATCACCCCTAACCACTCTGCCTGCCTGCCTGATCACCCCTAACTGCCTCTGCCTCACCCCCTGCTGCCGCAGTTTCATCCAGAAGGATGTCCAAAATGATGTCTGGAAGGTCATTTGGCTGTCCAGTCTAATTAGCATATTACACTTTTATTATTATAGATTTGTTTCTGAACTGTATCTATTAAATTGGTAAAGTATTACCATAGTGTGTGTATATTTTTAATATGTCCCTCTTCCCCCTTAAATTTTACTTAAAATTTTAAAGATCCTCAATACTTTTTCCTTTGGGATTTTTCTGCCTTCTGGTTCTTTTTTTTTTTTATGTTTAAAAATATGTTAGCATGATAGTTCAAGTCTTAACTAATGATTCAGGTATGATACAACAACTATTGTAATGTAAGGAGTATTAGGCATGCATGTATGGGGAAATATGTTTTACATATTTAAATATGTAACTACCTTTACAGTTTTAAATATGTGAAATTAAAACTGTAAAGATAGGTGGTTAAAGTGCTTGTACATTGCTCTGTATGGTAAGAACTAGTCATGTTGCATCATGTATATTATTATTAAGCATTTCTCTTTTCCTTTACAGCATAAAGAAATATTATTTGAATTCTAAAAAAAAAAAAAAAAAAAAAATCCCCACAAAATAATTAATATTAGATTTATCCATGCCTTAAAGATAAGTTAAAAATAAAATCCTATTCCTGCTTCCCACAATACTAACACCCTTGTAATGATTCACATTTAGTTATACTAAGAGTCATGGGCTGGTTGACTCTTAGTATAACTGATATTTGGGGGAGGATGGAAAGTATGGTTGGAAGTTTGGGTCTCAAAGGGATCAACAGAAGGCATGAGATAACATGAATTTCCACACCACTACTTGGATTGAATTTGAGCCCAGAGATTGAGTCAATGGTGAGCACCAGATGCTGGTAAAAATCTCTTTAAAAGAAATTTTAGGAGACACTGAACATAGAGCTGCCTTGGGGCCAACATGGCAAAGTGTGGCACAGATTAGAGAAAGGGTCCATTCTCCCCCCGCCCCCTGCACAGAACTCACCCCCCAAGATAGCAACGTTTGAAAACGTGGGAACAGCAGCTTCCTAGTACTCGCAGAGGGCACTGTCCACCGCAGCGGTGCTGGAGCGCCTTCTGGGGCTTTGTGGGCAGCATGTGGCCACAGGGACAGCCGAGCCAAGGAAGGACATGTGGGCTGCATGGGCCTGCTCCTGAAGGCACACTAAAGCAAAGGTAAAGCAAACTCTGGGGTTTGATTAAAAATGAAAAAAAATTAAGAAAAAGACTTATTTTATAGATGTTACCTTGTGACATTTGGAAAACTATTTGAGGAAGTACTTTAGTTTGCTAGTTAGTTAGAACTACTTTAATAAAATGCCATAGACTGGGGGATTGGGGGACTTATACAGTAGAAGTTTATTCTCTCTCAAATCTGGAAGCTGAAAGTCCAAGATCAAGGTGTTGGCACATGAATTTGGAGAAAATAAATTCAGCCCATAATGACAGATGTACAATAGGAAATTCAAACTCCCAGACAAGCTGCATAATCTAGAAAAACCTGGCTCTAATTTTAAAGAAAACTGTGGTCAGAATGGTCAGGTACTTTTAATAGTTTAAATAAATAAATAAATAAATAAACTACCACTTTCCTTTTTTAAGCCTAGAGCACATTTGACTTATTTTTATAATAAAATGTAAATAGATAACAGGTTCCTTTAAGAATCTCTAAGCTTGTTCTAAACAACAGGGAGATAAACAAGTCAAGGCTGAGAGGTACAAAGAGTAGTCACAACTGTAACAATTTATTGGGGCAATCAGTTCTATACATCTCGACACCTCAAGTCATCACCAAAGAAACCCACTGAATCATCACAAAACACCTCTAAACTGGAAACAATACCAATGTCCATCAACAATAGAATAGGTAAGAACATTGTTACTATATCACATACTGGAATACTACATAGCCATGGAAATGAAGGAATTGCTGCTTCAGGAAGCAGCATACATGAATCTCACAATTTCATGTGGAGTGAAAGAAGCCAGACTCAAAAGAATGCATTTAACAAGATTCCATTTATATGAAATTCAAGAGCACACAAAACTAATCCCTGGAGATTGAGTCAGAATAGTAATAAGTTTTGGTAGGTAATTAGCTGGGAAAGGGCAAAAGGAAGCCTGCTGGGAGCTGGACATCAATATTCCATCTCTTCATTGGGGTGGTTTTCACATGGGTGTGTACATCTATAAGAATTCATCAAGTCATGTGCTTAAGATTTATGTGTTTTATTGTATATATGTGAAATATCAGTTGGAATGTTTTAAATGCTGCAGAATAAAGGAAATCAGTACGTATATGTTCCTTATAATTGTAGATTTCATTTATCAAATAAGTATTCAAATATTCTATTGGTGGGTAGTTACCAAAGTTTCATTAAGCAATATATGACTGCTCACTGAGAGAAAGACAAGTGCTATATGATATCACTTATATGTGGAATCTAAAAATTCAAACTCAGCCTCAGTGCTTTGGCTCAATGGTCAGAGCGTTGGGTTGCAGACTGAAGGGTCCCAAGTTCGATTTGAGTCAAGGGCACATGCCTGGATTGCATGCTCTGTCCCCAGTAGGGCATGCGCAGGAGGCA